TCATAAGCCTTATAGCTTACAGCTAGTTTGCAGACCTGGTCCCTCAAACATAGAAATATATCACATTTACATTATACATTTATCATTATATTAAAAAATAAGTAAATAAGTAATACTAAATAACAAAAAAATAACCCCACAGATTACATAGTACGAAAGTAAATTAAGAGATGTCAAATATTCTGTTTGTGCTGCATTAACATGAATCTTTTCCTTAAGACTTGGCCAAGCAAGTGTTTTGTGACTGACCTTTCTTGAACTCAACCAAGTTGAGATTTTTCAACATAAACTGAGAAACCTTCAGATCTGTTGCACTAATATTTACTATACTGTAATGTACGTAGAACAAGTGATTACAGGCGCGTTGCACATGTAACATTGCTCTGTTGTTGCCCAACAAGTGCACCCCATCTGTCAGAGTAAACAGGCCCGATCCTCCTCCACATTCACGTCAGAGACATACTTCTCAGGAAGTGATTACATTTTATGAATCAGTCTTCAAGCACAGATTTCATGTTAACTTCATTCGCAATGTGCAATAAAAGTTGTGCAAATAACCTCACATTTTACCCTTTCTTCTTTGTTGCTAAATGATTTGACGCACATGAGTTTATGGATATGTCACCAGAGGAAGTGACAGAACGCGATCACACAAGCTGTGCCATGCTCACTTTGGGGCGCCATGACCGCTTTGTAAACCTGAGGGGTGACCCATGACCTCCAGAGAAGTGATGAAATGGAGTAAACCTCCCATTTCCCACTTCAAAGCCTTCAGATGAGATTTTAACCAACTTTTCAGGATAGGTTGAAGAAAAGAACAGTATATTTATGTTGAAGACAAAAATTGTTGCGATGTTTCTCAATTACTCCAGTCCCAAGATGTTGCTTATTTTCTCTCTTGGTGTAATCCCTCATTTACTGTCGAAACAGTCTGGATCATGAACTGGATGTAGATGAACAAGCTCAATGAAACCCAATAGAAAAGTGCTCGTGGACGAAGTTTTGCTCCAACTTACTCCTTCAGTCCACTCCTAATATTCGGTCTATGGTCTCGACATACATTATATTTTCAGTTTTCTGTGTTTTGTTTGGGTGGATTTTTATAGATTTCAAATGGATTTAAGTTTTTTAAAAGCTTGGAAGTTGAGGTGTCCCTGGGAATGCCTCCTCTAATACAGTAATTCTAGAAGTAGAGGCACATGGATAATAAATTAAAAGTCTTGATGAGCGGCAAAGATCACGACAGTCTTCTTCAGGGTAATCCATCAATACTTGCTTGTATTTTCTGATCCCCAGCAAATTGCCTTGTTTTGATAATAAGAAGTATATTTAATATTTGAAAAGACAACAATATAATACTTACGCATTACATTTTTAGCCATGTCTACTTTTCATTGAAGGTGTTAAAAGCCTAAACTTTTTTTTGTGAGCTTTGGCTTCCGTCCTTCCTGCCACCTTTACTGACAAAGCTGCACCTTTTCCTGCAGCGCTGTCATATGCTGAGCCAGGCATGCTGTGTGACCCCCTGTAACAGAGTGGGTGGCTTGGGACCAGAACCGTGTGGAGGAAGAGGAAGTCGTGGAGGTTAGAGGAAGCTACGCCTGTCCAGACCTTGAACCTGGTCGGCAGTTATCGACAGAGCTATTAGTTTGACTGCAGTAGTGATAAACTTTAAATGCAGGCCTCGGATGTGAGTAAGGTCTGAAAGGCGTGGGCTCGCAAAGGTCATTATATGGTGCACGCAAAGCCTGAGGTGGGACATTTCCGATGTTCTCTGTAAATCAAACATTTGAGGTCAGGTTGCAGTAATAATTTTCTCTCCCACACACAGGCATGCGCAGTACATTAACAGTGGCTTTAATGCTCTGGATGAAGTCGCATATCATTGACAGTGACCACACACAAAGATCTCCTGCATCCTCATAACTATGGTGTCTCGTGTCCACTTCTATTTTTACAGACAGGCGCTGAAAGCCTCTTGAAACTCGTTGTCAATGGGCGTCTCATTCCAGTACCAACAGCATGTCACCATTTATTAAGTCGTCATTACTTATGGCCGTGCACTGCCCTCTGCCTGGGAGTGTCGCAAATAGATCAGCAAAGATAGGTTTGTGCACCCCCAAAGGTCAAGACTCGAGCAGGCATGTTGCTGCACATCTCACCCCAGCAGAGATCAATGCAGGTAGCAGCGCCGCCATTAGTTTGTCTCCCTCAGATAAATGGAGCTGATTGGAGCAGTGCAAAAACACTGAAGTCGATGAGCAGGACTGTCCACACAGCGGTTTTGTTTTGGGTAAATAAATAAAAAGCTAGTTTGAACTAAAGAGGTGATGAGATACAGGGCCGTGGGAGTGGGAGCTGAATGGCTGATGTGGACACAAACACGCCAGCCTTTGTTCCACGTAGATACTGCCGCAGTTAGTGCAAAACACAACGTACAACTGTTTATTTTATACATGGTAATGAACGCATTCTGTTTTGTTTTGTTTGTCAAGTATTTTGCTAAAAGTTCTACACATAATTCTAGAAAGATTGTGCTAAAAATGTAGAAAGAAAAGCTAAACATTCATAGTTTTTTGTAGATGCAATATTGATGTATTCTTTTTTTTTCAATTTTGCTGTTAATGTTTTTGCAATTCTTTGATATTTATAAGGCCTATTGATATCACACATTGCAAACAGAAGCATGAGGCTGAGACAATTTTTCAACAATCAATCCTCTATAAGTGAAATTAGTCAATTGGGGCTGAGCATAAGGTTCAGGGCCTAGAGTTTATGTTTTAATGAATCGTATCGAATGGCTTGGACACATATTGAATAGAATCAAATGGAAAATGCCTGATACAAATGTACTGTATGTGTATATGTATGGTGTTGTGTATTGAGTTAACGTATGGGCAATTTCTGAAAGATACCCAGCCTTTTTCTGAATACTATCCCATTCTTCTGGTCTTAGCCGTATCCAAAGTGTGTTAGTTTTGCTGGACTATCAGTATTATGTCCCACTCTCCCACACTCTATATATCAGCCTCATTGTGAGCTTGTTTTCTTGGGGGCTCCATAGGTGTGTGAGTTAACACATCAGCACCCTTGTTTATCAAAGCTTTTATCACCTCTCCACTCTTGTGTCACCTAAAGAGAGGAAACAGGAGGTGCCCACACACCTGCACTGGCCTTTTGGGCGGTCAGAGGCGGGGGGCCGTGTTGTTGACCCACCGTGTAAATGACTATACCAGAATGCAGCTTAGGCCTCGCAGGTTAACTCCACAGCATGTGTTCGCTCTTAACAGGCAAGTGAATTCTCAATGAGGGGGGAAACGACCACCTGCATAAGCTCATGTTTAAATCAAATGTGCATAGAATCCCTTGACAGGATCTCTCCATCGGCTATAATTTATCTTTTAATACAGGTCGTATAAACATTAAGATTATATGGTCCTTTGTCCATCATGACCTCCATTAGCTCATTTTGTTCATATGTTTGAGGTGAATATTGTTATTCATCTTACACAGAGTTACTTAACTGCACCAACCTTGTTCTATAACGTTTTAAACCACATATGTCTGAGAACCCTTTGGAACACCATCAATTGGCTGTACTTTTTGGGAAGCTGAGGTCCTGTTGTGTTGGCCTCTGATAACACATTTACTTTAATTTTAAGTGGAAACTATCGCTGCGCTAAGAAAGACCAAAGTCCGCCTCCATTTTCCGTGAGGATATACTGTAGCTGGTGTCTGTGGATAGGATCTTTTTGACTGTAGAATCAGCACATTTTGAGGTTTTTACAAGCTTCCTTTAACAGCAAAGGGAAATGTATCTGGAAATTAGATTTACAGTAGGTACAGTATGTGCAATAAAGCAAAAGTGCCAAGCAGAACCCATGTAAATGCTTAATTTTGTGTGTGTTTATTTTATACTTTCACATTTCCAACAGTCCTATGGTTATATTGTATTAAGGACGAAAAAAAACATGTCAAGTAAATCCAGTTGTATCTCCAGATTTGTCTAGTAGGGTTTCACATTGATTATTTTATTCACTTATTTTAACAGAAGTTAAGAACAACTACAGTACAATCTAGTAAGAAGAGAAAAGCATTTTGACAATTTCATTTCAAAATACAAAACTCTTGGACTCTAACCTTGGACCGATACATTTATTTTATGATAAAAATCAGATTAAAAAAAAAGACTCTCACCATTCTTGAACATTAGGTTTGCAATTATGTTTTGAAATAATTACGTTTTAATAATAATTCTTTAAAACACATTATTCTCTTATTTTTATGCTTGGTGGTAATGATCAAAATACCACAAAAATAGTGAAAATGTTTTGCATCAACAAAATATTCAGTTGATATTTTCATAGATTTTTATTATTGCTGTAGTTTCATTACAGCAGATTGGCAACACAAACTCTACAAAATTGCTGTATGATACTTCCTCTGCGCTGAACGGGCTCTTCATCCCCCCCGCTCCTCTCCGTCAGCTGCTCTTCCTCCATCCCCTCCCCTCTCTTTGCTGGACGCTCTCTCTCTCTCCCCCTCAGTGTGTGAGGCAGTCTGTTGAAGCCGCACACACAGATTAGAGGCTCGATGTGAGTGTCTGCTCTGTAACAAGCGGACAGAAGATACACAGAAAACACCAGGGAAAGATTGTGTGGATAAAGCATTTGAGATATTACTGCTTTCCTCTTCTACCTCTCAACGTATATAGGAGAGCGTCTACCTGGAGCGGGACAATCCAAAGGGACAAGTATTCAAACTGGACCTCTTCACTGGGAGCCATGTGATCCGGACCACTCTACCCACTTGTCTCTACTCAGTGTTTTCTGCTCCGCGCTGGGTGTACCAACGGATTTTGTTCTTACCTGGAGCCTCTACTCAGAAGGCTTGTCTTGTGAGGAACTAACCCCAGGGGAAGGCGCTCATCTTGGGGCACTGGTTGGAGTGTAAGTGCCCCCTGGTCTTGGAGGGCCAGCCAGCAGCACTCCACCCGCACCATGGATTACCTGTTGGGGATAGTGGTGTTGCTGTGCAGCGCAGTGCAACCGCTGACAGCACTGGAGCCCAAGCACACAGTGCCAAGGCTAAAACTGTCATTTAAGGGTAAGTCCACGGCTGACTCCAGGACATTCAGATACACGCTTTTATCCCCACACCAGCTGGGCCAATAGTTTGACTCTTTGCCTGTGGGTGCTCTTTCCTCCTCATTCATTCTGTCCCATGTTGCCTTTTCCCTCTATTTCTGTCATTGCTTTGTCTGTCTCATTGTTGGTCACTACACTCTAAATACACTTCTCTCTCTCCCATTACCTTGCTTCTTCTGACTGACTTCTACATCATATGTGTTCAGGTGCATCTTTATCTCAAATGGATAAACATGTTGGTCCTTATTGGGTAATTTCCCTCATGCAGTACAGTACAACCCAGCTATAAGTGGCTATTCTTAGCGTCTTCTGTCCCAAAACTCCAAAAAAGGGTGTTACATCTGTCAGTGGAATTTCTTCTTAGCAGTTTCAAGCTTTTAATTACAACAGCTATCCTTTCAGGGTAGTTAATTCTCCAGTGCAAAACTATTGATTTAAATCTCTTGCGATAAATCACTTTTGCAGAATGGAGACAGAAAGGGAGCCACATACTTACTGGGTCTGCTTTATATGTGCAAGTTTTTGACACACACAGCAAACATGTTATTCTCACAGCTTGTATGTTATTTTGAGGGGAGACTGCGGAGCGCCTCTCCTCCCTCCCTCGCTCGCCCGTCCTCTCTGTCTGGCCGTCTCTCTCACACCCTACTCTAATTCAGGCTCTTTGTAATGGCAGACTTTTCATCTTTTTGGCTTGAAATAACCCATAACATTTTTGGCATATTTTAGTAGAAGGCTTTTTCTCATTTAATGTCAGTGAAAGGCAGTCATTGTGGGTGGATGTCCTAAAACAAAATCGAAAAGTATATGGCTCGGCGTGTGGTCTGTCAGTTCAGTGTTTAAGTGGACTTTTTTTTTTTTTGTTGACATAAAAACTAATTTTATGTGCCATACTCCAAACAGCTGAGAACAAGCTCCAAGACTCTTCTTGTATTTTTTTTTACACTAATGCTACAAGTTCTGTTGATACATTTAACCCACAATGAGGGTAATTTAGTATTTCACTCTTAAAGAGATTTGATTTTTGTCTAACTTTAGCCGTCTCACTTTGTATAACTTGTGTTTAGAGGCTTGCTATTCAATGGCTTTATTCTTTATTTAGAACACAAGTTATAATTTTGGTATTTTTCCTCACTCAATTTACATGCAAAAGCGAATTGTCCACAAAACCATATTTTTTTCACATTCTTCTCATTTCAAAGGCGGTGATGATTTTAATAGGTGATGACACGCGCTAACCACAATATCAAATTCAAATCTGGAAAACATCACAGCGAAACTTACCTGCATAAAGTCATAAATCCCCAGGGCTCCATCATGTCAGTTCACACAAAACTGAGCCTCAAGGCATGATGGAAAAATGTCAACCATTCCTTAAACCACCATCTGTTTAAAGAATGTGAGGATGGTTTTTTATCTCATGCACCTTCAATGTGACAAGTTAACATCGACAACAATACGAGACTAGAAGTACGCTATTAGCTACATAGGACCGTGCTTGAGATGACTCTATTTATAACTGAACCCATTTAGAAGTTCCTATTGAAGCTTAGGTTGAAACTGAACAAAGTCAAATTGACATATTTTTGTTGTAAGTAAATCAGAAGTTCACTACTAAAACTAGTATAAATATAAGATACTCCTTTGAGCTGGTATCAATACAGTATATTAAAAAGTCATAATAAAAGTTTCATTTTCATTAGAATGTATATTTATTTCTGTACAATTATATGTTATTGCCCAAAATATAGAACTTAAAATTATGTACAATAGGTCTGTATGAAAATCAGCCTTTTGCTAATCCCCATGTATTTGCAGTAGCTGGTCATCAATGTACACTGTCCCAAATAAATAAATTATCAAACTTAATCAAACATCAAGTCAGTTCATTATTGTTAACATTTAAATTGAAATTCGTTTTTAACTTGGAAGTGACACTTTGGGTGAAATTCCTCTTTGTTAGACGTCTTTCTGTGACATTTTGAGAGCGTATTATAGATGTTGAAATCTGTCAACTCTGGCATGTCTCCACTCTCCAGCACCTGCCTCAGCCACTTTGCTGCAGACCTGGCGTTTGCTTTGTCTGTGAGCACATGTGTATCTGCCGGAGCGAACTGGTCTTGGGTTGTGCGCTCTCTGGTGTATCAGCGTCTTTGTGTCACTGTGTGTGTGCGTGTGTTTGCGGGTCCCACAGGTGTGTGATGGCTCTTTTCGATGCCTGTCAGAGGACAGTTCACAGTTAACACCCCCGCAGTTGAGGAGCTGAGGAGGGGAGGATGCAGGAGGTGAGAGCCACAGACGCAGGCGATTGGCTTTAATGAAATGCTGGCAGACTTACAGTAGATGGAAATTGGAGGCTAGTTGTTAAGTGAAGTGTCATTCATCTCCCTTTCGCAGTGTAAAGCCGGTATAGTAATTAAGTCAAATAAACAACAAGGGAGGAATCCTCTTGGGGAGGATAGTCGAGCAAGCGCTGAACAAAACCGTCGGATAGGCTCTTAAGCTGAACTCAGACAGTAAATGGGGTGTGGAACAATTGTTCAGTGCCTCAAACTCTTGGGCTTCTAAATTGATTTTATGGAAAGAAAAAACAGAAAGGTTTTTGGCCCACCTTGAACTTAAGGTTTTCTTGGCAAAAACATGTTTCATTATAAGCATTTTTAGAAATATATATTGGCACATATCATTTTTTTATTTACGTACTTTTCATAATACAATAAAATCCAGACCATATTTTGGAAATACACTAGTATATGAAGAATCTGTTATCACTCAACTTAAGCATTCTTTGGCATTTGAACATTTGAGCATTGGGCCCATGAAGTGCCTCATTAGTGGGTGCTGATGACACGCGTTGCGGGACTTGTCTCAACAGACAAAATGAATGATTTTCAATTTTTATGCAGGAGACTGGCCCATAAGTGCAGAGCGGGCAGTTTGAAGAGTGAGGCGGCTGAGGAATGGCAGCAGGTAGATACAATGACCTCTCCAGGGAGAGACTGCGAGCAACTGGACGGTCAATGATTTCCCAGTGGGCTCAGTTAGACATTCAGAAGGATGTGACTGTACAGGACACAGCCATGATCACACAAGTTAATGATTTTCTCTTCTCCTTCAGGCTGGAAGGGCTTTCACTTTCCTTGTCATAAGTAACATAAGCAGATGAAGTAACTTAAATCGCAATGTCAAATAATCTTTGTCTGGAAAGATATTGCACACATGGTTATGACATGAATAGAGGTTAAATTGCTCATATCCAGGATTATTTATGAGTGCTTGGTGAATGTAGTGCTGGGCTAGTGTCTATTGTGTCGAGTGACTATTTCCATAGGAACACAAAGCAGAGCATATGATAATATAATTAAAACAATACAAATGTTTGGCTTGATCTAAAATAGTTAAATTCCATCCTTATAATAAATCCCGCACATGTACTGCTATCACATTCCTCTGCCATTGTACAGTTAAAAAAATAAAACAATCCGGAGGAATACTGACCCCTAAAGGTCAATTGATGCACCCACAACAGACGATCCAGTAAATGCCACAAGTGAAGACTGCCAATAAACCATAGCAGTATTGTGATTGTTAAACGGAGAGAAGGCGACAGTGGAAGTCCAAAGTGCTCATTAAAGAACACGTAGAGTGCTTGTTAATTATGTAGACTGCCTTATGACCTTTTCATCCTCACAGCGCTCCTTATTTGATGGTGAAGTGGGTGGAAGAAAAGGCAGACTGACAAGGAGTCTTGGGAATCTGGAACGGGATTGCGACATTTCAAAATAGACACTCAAAGCAGAACCGCACAAAACGCAGACTAGCTTTAGTGCCATAATGAGAAGCCTGTTTGAGTGACTTTAAGAATGAGGGTAAACCTACTCTACTACAAGGCAGGAAAACATGCGTAAACTTTGTGTTGAAATGTGACACCAGCTGCAACGTGTTAGCAGTACTTTGCCATCCCAGAATGAACAGACGGGTTTGCATAATTTGGGGAAAACCTAGAACCGTGGTAAACATGCTATGTATAGGTTTTTACTTCCTCTTTATGAACAGCATTTTGAATTTTGTGGATGATTTACTAATATCTATGTATTTCTTCATATTGTATATGGCTAAAATCATGCTCTGAGATGTACATGTTTGGCAAAATTGTTAGGAATCAAATACTTAAGTTTTTTTCTTATACATATAATTATATATTTCTATTTACTAGATATACTTCATATGTTTATAGGATTTGTTTTGTATTAAGCTAAAGTCAAACATTATATTTTGATTTTCAAGTAAAGAGTTGTGCTGTACTTAAATATGTAATATTCACTGCTCCGCACTGTTCTGTAACCATGATGCGACATGTATTTCCTCGCTGTGGGATGAATAAAGGACCTCTTAAAACCAGGGAACACCTACAGTTTAAAACAATAAGATAAAAAGAAACTGAATTGGAATATTTACAAAAACAAATTGAGTAATTCAAAAACTCAATAATGAAGACAATGGACTGACTACGAGAGGCAATAAAGCACCCTGAGTACACATCAAAACAACAACAAAAATCTAAATATCCATCCATCCATCCATTCATTTTCTACCCTTTAATCCATTTCTGGGTCAGGGGGGTGGCAGTCAGAGATGCCACCCAAGTCTCATAGCACCAGCCCCTCACTGACCCTCTGCAGGTGGTGAGTCCACAGGAGGACGGCTGCTCTCTGAGTGAGAGCATAGCCTTGATCTTTCAGTGGGGGCTTTGGGCAAAGTGGGGTTAAGTGTCTTGCCCAAGGACACAACGACAGCAGTCATCAGTGGGAGTCGGTGGAGAAGGTGCAGAGGTGGGAATTGAACCCACAACCTTCTGGCCTTAAGGGCAATGCTCTACCAACTGAGCTACTGTCGCTAAATATAGTTCATTAAATAATGAATAAAGTTATTCATTAAATAACTTTCACTTATATATAT